ATAGATAACACATTGAATGGGCAAAGGAGTAGAACTCAATCAATGGAAGACAGAATTCATGAGATTGACAGCAAATACCTCAATACTTCTTTGGAAAGGGATCAATCAAAAAAAGATCAAAACAAAGTGATAAAAGCCTAGGATTCATGTGGGATACCATCAAAAGGAATAACCTACATATAATCAGAATTCCTGAATAGGAAGAGACAAATAAAGCGACAGAAAAAGTTTTCAAAGATTTGTTGCAAGGGTATTTCCCTGGTATGATAAAAGATGAGAATATATCCATTCAAGAAGTCCAGTGAACCCCAAACAGGATAGACCCCAAAGAAAATCACCAAGACATATCATCATCAAACTCACCAAAATCAAAGACAAAGAAAGAATCCTGACAGCAGCATGGGAAAAAGGAAAAGTTACCTACAAGGGGCAACCAGTAAGACTAAGCTCAGATTTCTTGGCAGAAACTCTGCAGGTGAGAATACGTTGGGATGATATATATGAAACCCTGAAAAAGAAAAATTTCCAACCAAGAATTATATATCCAGCAAAACTGTCCCTCAAATATGATCATGAAATTAGACATTTCCAGATAAACAGAATTAAGGGAATTTGTTAAAACCAGACCAACCTTACAAGAGATGCTAAAGGGAGTCCTTTAGACAAAGAATCAACAACAACAAACAACTGACCATTAACACACATGATGACATAACCCAGAAACCAACCCAGTTACAGAAGTACCCAAAGTAAATAAGCCTACAATATTGTAAACAGGGAACCAGAGACATCAATTGACAAATGAGGACAACAACAAAACAAAAAGAGGGAAAAAATTGTGTAGTTACAAAACTTCTAAATGGTAGGGAAGTCAAGACAACTACAAGATAGAACAGACTATTCTAAATTTGGGAAGAAAACTATAAATCACAGGCTAAGCTCAAAGAAAAATGATAAACCTTCACAGGAAAATAAAAAAGAGGACCAGTACAAATATTTAACAAATACTAAAACAATAACAATGAAAGAAGTGATAACACGATTCATAAACAAAATAAGCTCAACACAAAAAACTATATGAACAAAGAAATCACCACAAAAAAGCACATAACAAAAATGACAGCAACAAATTTGTACTTGTCTATAATTACATATCTGGCAAGGGACTTATCTCTAAGATTTATAGAAAACCTCAAAAGCAAAAGGATTAACAATCCAATTGAAAAATGGGCAGAAGACATGAATAGACTCTTCAACAAGGAGGATATTCAAGAGACCAGCAAATACATGAAGAGATGCTCATGATCATTGGCCATCAGAGAGATGCAAATCAAAACAACAATGAGATACCATCTCACCCCAGCACTGATGGCAAGGTTCAATGAAGCAGAAAATAACAATTGCTGGTGGGGATGTGGAGAGATTGGTACTCTCATACACTGCTGGTGGGACTGTGAAGTGATACAACCACTGTAGAAAGCAGTATGGTGATTCCTTGTTGTTGTTGTTGTTTGCCATCGAGTCGGCCCCGACTCATAGCGACCCCTCCTTGGGTTTCGGAGGCAGTATCACTACGGAAGTAGGATTGCCCAACCTTCCTTCCGAGGAGTGGCTGGTGGGTTTGAACCGCCAGCCTTCTGGTTAGCAGTCAAGTGCTTTAGGCACTATGCTACCAGAAAGCTGGATTTGGAGATACCATTTGACCCAGCAATCCCATTACTCGGTATATATCCTAGAGAGGTGAGAGCCAGTACAGGTACAGATATATGCACACGCACATTCATTGCAGCAGTATTTACAATAGCAAAAAGATGGAAACAACATACATGCCCATCAACGGAAGAGTGGATGGCCAAACTATGGTACATACACACAGGATGTTATGCAGCATTAAAGAATAACGTAGAGTCTGCAAAACACTGCATAAGAGCATAACATGGATGAACTTGGAAGACATTATGTTGAGTGAAATAAGTCAGTTGTGGAGGGTCAAGGAAAGGTTTATATATGGAGGAAACTTTCTTTGTTGGTTGCCAAGGGTGCAAAAAAAAAAAAAAAAAGAAATGGATTGGCCCATGTCACTTTAGTTTTGTGTATTTCACTGTACATAAATTATATTTCAATAAAATTCATTTAAAAAAAATAAAAAAGGATTTATTGGGTCAGGAGGACCTTCTGGGTAAATTCTCTGCCCATATTTGGCACAGGGACAGGGGAGTAAGAATTTTTTTTCCTATGTATTTATTCAATTTGCATTTTTAAGAGCATGTGTTGGAAGCAGTTCCCCCAAAAGCTTAACGCCCAAAGATGACTGCCTGCAGCTATGTGTTATCTCTAGCAATGAACCTTGGGATCCTTTTTGGAATTGATTCAAAGGGATCAGGGGGCATAACTGCTGGAAAAAAAACATTTTGAGTGTGAGATCAGTAAGGGTGCAGTGCCTCTTTTTGTTTCAAGAGGGAAAGCAACAGCTGACATTGAAATGCAGGGGACTACTGGCAGGTTTGAAGGTCTGCAAATAGGCATGCAAATTTAGGATGCTTTAAGGCAGAGAAAAATTGAAAAGAATCCAAGCATGCTAGCAGTGATGGAAAGGCTCTCCTCCAAACAGAGACATTTTCCCTGAGTGCAAGAGGCGCATAGAGGTCCAAAGTGCCTCAGATATTCAAGAAATTTTGAGGAGGAAGCCTAAACTAAAAAATTCCAAAGCTTAACTGCAGCCTTCTGCCTAGACTGGCAAGGAGACATCTTACCTTATCACAGTCACAGCACCAGAATGTTAACCTCAGGGGTTTTGATCCTACCTCCTTGTTTTCTTCTGCAAAAGAATTACACAGAAAACGAAAGTTAAGCAGTAAACAAATCAAAGTTTACTGATATGTTCTCACAGACAAGAACAGGCATCCACAAGTGGCACGGCGCCCTGGAGGTTTTTAATATCTCTTCTTTTACTCTATTTTGCTTCCTGGTACTGTTCTTAGCCCTCCCTTCACTCCTCCTTTTGAGGTGGGAGGTTTAGCTTGATTGACACTTGTTGTTGTTATGTACCATCAAGTCGGACCCGACTCATGGTGACCCCTCCTTGGGTTTCTGAGGCAGTATCACTATGAAAGTAGATTGCCCCATCTTCCTTCCGAGGAGTGGCTGGTGGGTTTGAACTTCTGATTAGCAGTCAAGTGCTTTAGGCACTATGCTACCAGAGCTAGTGACTAGCTAACTCTTTTGGGTTACTACACGTTTTTTCCCAGAATCTAGCTCATTTGACTCTATGTTGACCGGTAATTGCAATGCAAATTCATTATAATGATATTATGTTATGTGCCATGGAGTCGGACCCGACTCATAGCGACCCCTCCTTGGGTTTCCGAGACAGTATCACTAGGGAAGAATTTGTCCAACCTTCCTTCCGAGGAGTGGCTGGTGGCTTTGAACCATCAGCTTTCTGGTTAGCAGTCAAGTGCCTTGGGCACTACGCTACCGGAGCTCCCTATCATGATATTACAATGAATTTTAAGGTAAATGAAGGGCATGCTTTTTCTCTAGTGCGTATGCGTTGCTGCTTGGCCTACCCTGTCTGGCTGGTGGTTTAACCCACGGTTTGTTTCTCTCACTACAATTGGTTAGGGCTACAATTGATTAGGATCCTAGGTTAGGACTCTCCTCTACACCTGCTTTACCTGTGGCCGTTTCACTACACCTGTTTTTACTAACTACCTAACAGTAAAATGGAAAATAGCTACAAGAATTAGCGATAAAAGATCAAAAATTAAGAGACTTGGAGTATCAAATGAAAATCTCCAATATTTATCTAATGTGAATCCCAAAAGCAGACAAATAAAAAAAATAATTGATAATTAAAAAGTAAAAACAGAATTGTCCAAATTTATGTTCAGTTCTCAGATTGAAGAATCATAACAAGTCCTAAACTAGATGAACAAAAATATATCCTTTTAAGCAAATTAAATTGTAAATGTAGAAAAACCAAGATAGTTTCAAATACAGCCTGAAAGGAGAAACAACATAAAAAATAAAATATGCTCAAATAATTAAATTCAATATATTTTCCAAAAGCAACAATATAGACCAGAAGTCAATGAAATATATCTAAGATACTATAGAATTCTAAACCCAGTTAGAATTGTATTTGAAATTGCAGGTAAATTGAAAACCAGAATTAAAAGAAGTTTACATCCTTGAAAGAACTACTATTAAGGAGAATGGAACCCAGAATCTAAGGCGGGAAGGGAAAAAAAAACAAAAACCAGTATTACAGAAGCAAAAACAGGCAAGGAATTGGTAAAAATATCTTGAAAAAGCTAAATAAATAGCTAACTATTGACTGTTAAACATGTTGTTGTTGTTATGGGCCATCGAGTTGGCCCCGACTCATAGCGACCCCTCCTTGGGTTGCCAAGGCAGTATTACTACAGAAGTAGATTACCTCATCATCTTCCTTCCGAGGAGTGGCTGGTGGGTTTGAACCGCCAGCCTCTGGTTAGCAGTCAAGTGCCTTAGGCACTATGCTACTAGAGCTCCCATTAAACATAGTAACAATGATTATATAATTAATTAGTTAATTTTGAAAGAAAGGAAGAGGGATGTATTTTAGAGCTAATGGTCTTGCATTATTAGAAGACAAGGCAAACAATGATTTTTTAAAAGTTTTTAATTACATGATGCTAAAAACTAATTGTTTTTCAGTATTTAAAATTCAAGAACCATCTCATGAAAAACATTGAATTTACATTAACTTTAATATGTATTTTGGAAATTTTATATTAACCATTATAGTAATATAAATGGAATATAAATTTCCAAAACAATGGAGTTAAAACAGGAAAATGTTAAATCTGGTCAATCCCAGAGGTTCTATGAAGGAAGAAAAATGAAGGAACAGAATTTAAAAAAATAAAATAAAATAGGATGAATAATAGCAATTCCCATTTATATATTTATATCTGATTTCTCCTAACTTATTATTCATATCTTATTCCTTATAGGATGATGGTGAACCACTTATTCAACCACACGAGAAATATAATGCAAAGGATTCATTTTATAAATCTTCTACGCAAAAGTAAGCATTTTTCTCAGTCAAATTTTGATTTACAGTATACTATTAATCCTTAATAACATTTTTCCTTTGTGTCTACAATATTCTGGATTCTACAAATAAATCAGAAAACATCAAATGCAGATACAATTAGATTAAATTGGTTGCTAAAAGCAAAAGGTCAGGGAGAATGTGTTGGTTAAGTTTGTGTGTCAACTTGGCTAGGACTGGTTGAGTGGTTGGGCAGCTGAGTGTAATATTCCTTGTGATGAGACTGGTGGAATCTACTGTGAGCAGCTGAGTAGATGCCTTTGGGTATATGGTCTGCTTCCCATATATAAGAAACAGCTTTGAGGATGTTGTCGAGCTTATGGCACGCTTGAACCCTACATGTAGCTGTGTCATTTTCCAGCAGCCTGCCATTCTCTGCTGACTTTGGGACTTTCAATGGACTTGAATTAATGGCCTGCCATGTGGTTTGGTAACATCAGAACTTTTATTTGTTGACCTTGGGTTTGTTAGCCCAAGCAGGCAGTAGCACCTGGTGAGGAGATGCCTCTAGCTTCAGTGGGCCAGGAGCAAGAGGCAGAACTGAAGCCCAAGGTCGAGGGGCTTTCACCCAGCCCCTAGAGACTGGCACTTTGAACTTGGACTTAATGACTCCAAACTCCAGAGCAAAGGACTTGAATCACTTGATCTATCACCAGTCTTCTCCAAGCAAACATTACCTCTATCCTGGATTATGTAATAACCTCCTAACTTATCTTCAACATAACAGCAACAATGACTATTTTGATATATAAGTCTGGTGGTTTTCACATTTCTGCTAAACTTTCACTTCATTGAGAGTAAACCAGAAAAACAAACTCAATGCTATCAAGTTGATTCAGATTCATAGCAACCCTAAGGGACAGGGCAGAACTTCCTCAGAAGTAATAAACTCCTGTTCCTTCAAGCCAATTTGTGGTATATTACTGTCAGAGTAGCACTAGGTAACAAGAACAGAGAACGTCTGTGTTTAATAATATTGTTGTTAGGTGCCATCGAGTCATTTCTGACTCATAGCAACTCCATGCACAGCAGAACAAAACACTGCCTGATCCTGCACCAGCTCCATGATCCCTGCTATACTTGAGCCCATCATCGCAGCTACCGTGTCAATCCATCTCATTGAAGGCCTTCCCCTCTTTCGTCAACCCTCCACCCTACCAAGCATGACATCCTTCTCCAGGGAATGGTCCCTTCTGACCACATGACCAAAGTTGGTGAGACGAAGTCTGGCCATTCTCACTTCCAAGGAGCATTTTGGGTGCACTTCCTCCAGGAAAGATCTGTTAGTTCTTTTAGCAGTCCATGGTACTTTTGGCATTCTTTGCCAGCAATACAACTGAAAAGCATCAACTCTTCTTCGGTCTTCCCTATTAATTTTCCAGTCCTCACATGCATATGAGATGATTGGAAATATTATGGATTGTGTCAGGCGCACCTTAGTCCTCAAGGAGACATCCTTGCTCCTCAGCACTTGAAACAGTTCCTTGTGGTTGACCTTCGCAGTGCTACACATCATCTAATGTCCTGACTGCTGCTTCCTTTGGCATCAATTGTAGAACCAAGCAAGTGAATTCTTTGACAACCTCAATCTTCTCTCCATTTATTGTGATGCTGTTCGTTGGTCAAGTTGTGAGGATTTTTGTTTTCTTTATATTGAGACTAATCCATACTGCAGACTGTATTCTTCAACCTTCATCAGTAAGCACCTTAAGTCATCCTCACTTTCAGCAAGCAAAGTTGTATCGTCTGTGTATCTCAGGTTGTTAATGATTCTTCTTCCAATCTTGATGCCACATTTTTCTTCATATAGTCCAGCTTCTCGAATTATTTGCTCAGCATATAGATTGAATAAGTATGGTGAAAGGATACAACCATGACACACTCCCTTCTTGATTTTAAACCACGTAGTGGCCCCTTGTTCTGTTCGAACGACAGCCTGCTGATCAAGGTACAGGTTCCTCATGAGTAAAATCAAGTGTTCAGGAATCCCTATTCTTCTCAATGTTACCCATAATTTGTCATGATCCACACAATCAAATGCCTTTGCATAGTCAATAAAGCACAAGTAAACATCTTTCTGGTATTCTTTGCCTTGAGGCAAGATCCATCTGACCGCAGCTATGATATTCCCTTGTTCCACATCCTCTTCTGAATCCAGCTTGCACCTCTGGAAGCTCTCTGTCAATATACTACTGCAAACATTTTTAAATTATCTTCAGTAAGATCTTACTTGCATGCGATATTAATGATATTGTTTGATAATTTCCACATTCTGTGGGATCACCTTTCTTTGGAATGGGCACAAATATGGATCTCTTCAAGTCAGTTGGGCAGGTAG